GTGATCCGCCGGCTTCGGTCTCTCAAAATGCTGGGATTACAGGTATGAGCCACCACCCATGCCTGGCTAACCAAATTATCTTAAGTCAATCCATTTTGGTTTCCCTTTCTTGTAGCCCTTAACCTATACTCAAGTATAATACTTAGAAGAAAAAAATGGAAACAATCTAAGGGTTTAACAATAGAGAAAGGATGAACCAAATAACGATATATTTACTGAATATAACCACAAACCAGAATCTCAGCATGACAAATCAGTAAAACAATTTTATGTGTATAAGTTATATATATTCCTCAAACTATGCAGTCAACGCATACATAAAATATCCAGAAGCAACTCTAGTACAAAATATAATGATAATGTCAGTTGCCTTAGAGGAGTAGAGATACTTTTCCATAAAGTCTGACTTCTTTACTTTTATGATTTAAACCAGTTTCATCAACAATATAATGTACCTTTATAATGGACTTATCACCTTTACAAAGATTTAACACTTTAAATTTGTACTGTCCAATTATGTTAAGACAGTGGAGAGAAGAAAGTCACTCTTAGACATTAACCTCACCTATCTTGAATTTTAACAAAAATGCCTACACATCATTCCTCTTTCCTATCTCTTTTCTTTATTTATATCAATTCGTTTCTGTCTTCTTTTATTCCTTCTTTTGGTATAAAACAATGAGTAGAAAGGCATTGTCTGAGTTGGAAGACAGGGAGGAGAGATGGCAGTCAACAGGGAATAGACATTCCAGTTGTCCTTATTCCACCTCAATCCCTGCAGGATGCATCATAAAATTGAAGCAAACCTACTAAAGCTTCAAAAGGGTAGAGAAATGTCTTTGTGTTAGCTATAAGAAATAAATGAGGCCTGAGAATTCACCAATAAGAGCACAGTTAATTGAATTAACAGCATGGAAGTCATTAATTAGACCATTTACCCGACCAAATCCATTTGATGAATTAAGAACAGTATAATTATCAGTTTTTGAATCTAGGACTACATACTACTTTCCAACTGTTATTCAGAAGAAGCTATTTACTACTCATAGTACATAATCTCAATTCTATCTTTGTTAGAAATGTATGAAGTTACAGCCTTCTTTGTCAGAAATGTATGAAGTTTCTTTCAAAGCTATAATAGAAAATGGTTTAAAAAATTGCCTGTGAAAGTACTTATACCTCAGTGTGAAAAAATAATAATCTATATAGTAAATATAAACTTATAAGTGAATAGATTATTTACTGCATTATTAGTAATGAAAAATAATTCTTAGACATGCAAAATAATTTTATCATAGATGCTTTTAAATACTGTTTCTTCTTTTAATGTTGTAATTTAGGAGGGAGGAAGTATCCTCAAGTAATTGAAGAGGAATATTAAGCATTTGTCAGAAGCTGGACATATTGATGAACTGTCGAGTTCTGTAATTGGAAATCAATTCAAAACAAAATAGCACTGCAATTTAGTAATAACTTTAAGGCCCTATTTATTTCCCCAAACATCCAGAGAGGCATGGCATTGCAGGAAAACCCTAACTTGGATGTATGTTGAGGAAAAGGACATACTGGTTGGTAAGGTGCTTAGCAAACACTATCTTCCACAGTGATAGTAATAGTGAGAAACTGTAACCTAACAAATGAATAATCTTGTAGTAGAAGTGAATATGGCATCGGATATAAATTTGAACTATATGATCACTAATTTCATGAGACTTAATTAGGCACAGAGGAAAATAAGGACAGTGCTCAGTTTTACTGTAGTGTAAGACCATAAAGATGGCTGTTGAAACAGTGTGAAGCAGTCTTAATGGTCAAAGGGAGAAATTATATTTGTTTAATGATCTTTAAAAATTTTTTGTCAAAACATTAAGAGTTCCTTTACAATGGTTTATAAATGTATATGGAATTAAAAATAAAATTAATATCACTGATAATAGTAAAATAAACATTACTATTTACTAATAGTAAAACTACTGATAACTAATAGTAAAACTATTAAACTACTACTAACAGTAAAACTAAACTAATATTTAAAAAAACAAATGCAATTTAAAATGTTAGAAACATTGAGAACTGAAGTGTTTTATCTCTCTGTAAACATTTTGTGAAGTACAGTTTGAAAGATGTTGCCTTCTTTTGGTCATACAACTGATGATTAGGAGCAAGCATCTTTTCTATGTCTTGGTGAACTGGCAGATTCCTAAGTATGAATCAGCTTCCAGCATTTTATCCTTTGCCCTTTAATGTCATGAAATAGCTCTGCAGGTTCCTTTAATGTGAAGTTTTTTACATCCTCTGGGACATTGTTATCCTTTCCATCAAAATCATTTCATTCATTTATGTTGGTAAATCATTCCCATCAATGTTATCTACTTTAAGTAGGTCACCCAGTTTTCTTTATTAGTGGAACAAAGATTTCTGCAAGAACAATTTACTTCAATAATTGATTTTATCTACATCCATTTTGTTAATCTTGGCTATAGTTACAGTGAAACTTTCACCGATACTCACAAAGCAGCCACCACACTTTCCCTGTGGCAATTTGAAGCCAAATATTACTTATGAGTTTTGTGGCATAACCCATCTTAAAACTCCTCCCTCTCGGTTGGGAGATCATCACTCACTTTAGGTTAAGTCCTGATGAGCAACTTGAAGAGCAACATGTCAAAACCTATCACTTGCCTGCCCCTGTGGGTGGCTGAGTCATGGCCTCACTGGCAAGGCCTTCTTTACCAAGTCCAGGTCCTCATTAGTACTCTGGCTCACTGACCAGAAGGCTGTCAAGATAGATACAACTAATCATATGGGTGTATTTTATGATAGGATTAGAAAATCTCGACCTCCATGATGAGTTTCTGTGCTTTTACATGATCATTTGATAATGCTCTGTTGGATGTTCAAGATACCCCAAACAGTAGAACTGAATGGAGTCACTAATATATTTGCTGTCATTTAACTAATAACACTGACAGCTAGTGAGGTGGCAAAGCTATCAGGCAACAGGCTAGGTCTCCCAGCCCTGTTCATCTCATATCTTTGTCTCTTTTCCATCTCCTTTTAAAAAATTTTTATATACTTAGATACACAGAACTGCAATTTGACTTAATAGCCATTACCAAGTTAGACTTTATATAAATGAAGTATCTATATGTGCTACTAAGCATATACACCCGCGCCAAAATGCTCATTTAAAAATTGTTTTCAGAATACTTTTTACTTTCAGCAAAAAATTCTTACTTAAAAATAAGAACTTATGGAACTGATATGAGACCAAGGAAATACTCTATGAGAGAAAAGTCTTGTAAAATGTGCTGAAATGGACTGCCGGGTAATCTTGCCTTACAAGCAGTCAAAGTTGTGAACTGCAAACATCCCTGCTTTTCTTGCCTCAGGCTGGTTATTTCATGTTGTCAATGCCATCTGGGTGCATCACAAGTGTGGTAATTTTGCAATGAACGCATGATAACTATAATATTATCAAGACACAGAGTGACAGTAAAGAGAGTAAATAAGGCCAGGTTTTAAAATAAAATATACCTTCACTCTTTCAAGTTGAGAAATTCAAATAAGTTACTTATATCTGACTTGAGTGATTGAACATAAAAGGTTAAATAAATGAGGTCATTTTCTAGTAATTTCGTCATGTACACAACACACACACACACACACACACACACACACACACACGTACAAACACACAGACATATGTATACACATACAGATACACATGCTCATGTAGAGAGCCATCCCTGCTAGAATAGAGTTCCAACCATGTCAAGGACCCTATGTGTTACAGCCAATATAGGCAGTAGTGTTTTCTTTGATAAGGTACATCTGTATTTGCTCTTATTTACCGTTTTGTCTCTAGAACACATTGTTGCATATATATGTCCTTAGCGTTTTCTCTTTCTTTTAGGCTCAAATTGCTTACTTGGATCTGGTCCCTGATACATCTTAGAATCTCACATATATGGGGCCAGGACCCTGGGACACTTCTAACTGTCTGCCTTTTCTATTTTATTCAATGATATGCTAGAACTTGGGTAAGCCATCAGCTGATGACCAGGTTTTAAGTGTAAATTCAAAATCTAAATTATTTTTAAAATGGCATCATCTATTCTTTTCAGTTTCTCTGTAAGAACACACCTATAACTAACAAAGTTCTTGATGTGGCACTGTATTTTTTAGCCAGAATAATGAGTTTTATACACAAAATATTTCTAACATAAAAATGTCACCACTTATTTGCTATATTCATGCCTTCATAGATGTCTAAGAGTACTAGGCTACACTGAAAATCTGAATGCAGGTAAATATCTGACAAAGATAATGGAAGTAAAATTGGATTAGAGGGTCAAGAATCTAGAAATACACCTGTCTTCGGGCCCAGTTTCCCCATTTCTAACTGGGTTAGAATTTTATTTTTTACTACTACATATTTGTTGCCTTATCTCTTTCATTGACCACAAAAACTTTAGCCCAGTTCCTTTTCTTTATTCTCTTTAAAACACAAGTGAAAAACACTGACTTCAACTATCTAGATAACTACCTAGATCTGAAATCTAGTTAGGGTTGGCAGACACACCCTAAGATGCCTTCTGGCTCTAAGAGTGAATGGCTGAGAATAGAGCATATTTGACTAAGCATACAGTAAGATGACAACTCTCAAAATTCAAAATAATGCCCAGGTTTATAAAAGGCCAGCTGTATTCTATCAGTAAAAACTGTACCATAAAAAAATTTGATCTCTAAACCAAATATTAATTATAGAATTGGAAGAGATGGAAAGGAAGAAAGGAAGGATGGAAGGGAGGGAAAGGAAGAGGGAGGGAGAAAGGAAATATTTAAGTCTGATTAAACTATTTTCCTTCAGAGGAAAGAGGTGATGATTAATAAGTTAATAATTCCCCATAAATGAAGAATTTCTCTTTCTATTTTTAAAATATGCAAGGTAGATGTTATTATCTTCTTTACTTATCAAAAGATATTTGGTTTGTTACCTTCAAAGTCCACATCTCCAACTAATTTTGTCTTCCCTGTCACTGGATCATGGACATAGTTGATACCCACATCGATTACAGCAGCACCTTCTTTAACCATATCAGATGTAATCAACTTTGGAATACCTGAAAACAAAAAAAAGTTGTTTGTCCTTCAGCATAACAAAGGTTTATATATCTGTTTTGGTAGTCATGGCTTTAAATATAT